CTCTCTCTTATATTATCTCTATCAAATATGTTTGTAACTCACACAGCCTGATGTTTTCTCTTCAGGCCAAATGTGAAAACGAAACTTGTTAACATCTGGAATAGCGAACTACAAACTCAAGGGGAGTGGACAAGTACACACAATCTGGAGTCAAAAGAAGGTAAACCAGTTCCTGCCATTCGTTCCTGACCTGAATAAAAGCTGAATGATTCCTAGTGCATGTTTCAGTTTGTTAGCTCATTTCTTTCACCCGCTTTTCAAGATTATCTCAGAGGCCGTTCTTATTAATCATGAAAGTATTCCTCAGTCATAGGTTACAACGTCTCTTTTGTGGTCTCCTAAGCCACATAGTCTCTTTCTATTCCGTCCTGCTTATTTTTTGATCTTGTGATAGAATTGTCATGCCTTACATTTCTATTCAATAATTCAGAATTTGCATCAACAAAAACTCAAAATTTCTTAGATTCTGGGGCAAAATGGAGGAACTACTGTCCAGAGACTGCAGTTGAGTACCTTAGCAACTCCCTGATGTTTTTGTGAATTTTATTTATTGTTGAGATGGTGAACTTTTTGCTTTTTCAACATGAGGTACAGAGCGGGAGTGGAGCAGAGGATCTTAAGAATCAGGATACCATACTCAATGTCACTTCTGGCATCTTGCATTTTGTTGGTGATTCATTGGTTCCTGATACCATTGATAAAAACTGCCTGGAGGGTGCCAAAGTTCTCCAACAGGTTGATAAGAAGTATATTCCGATTGTGGCGGGCAAAACTCTTGCTATAATTGATCAGGTCTATTCTAATCTTTGCATAGTGCATTGTGGCCGTTCTTGTTTTCTCGTGAATTTCCTTTATGCATTTACTTTAAAGATTGTTTCTCTTAGAGGTCACATAAAATTTGACATAAAAAATATAATCTTGTTTGCCTTGTAAGAAATATAATATCAGTATAACTAATGCAGCGTTTGATTGGTGGTATTAAACTTTACATTATTAATGCCCTCATAATTTATGCAATAACCTATGCATTGTTTTATGCGGGCTAGAATGTGAAATAAGATAACATGTATAAGCAGTGGATGGATAAGAGTATTTGAAAATGTTGGTTTATGTTTAGTTAACAATGACATGCTGAAAATGTTGGTTTATGTTTAGT